AAAAAAAAAAAAAAAAAAAAAAATGTGCCTCTTTTAATAGCTTCATAAATGACAGGCATGAATAATAGGCCCCGAGTTTCCTGACTTTATCAGTCACAAGATGATAGTGCCAGTAACTAAAATAGTAAAATCAGAATGCCTTTCTCTCAACTTTCCTGATTTCCAGGGTGTGACTCACAAACCACAGATTTCGCAACATGATCCACTAAGATGTGAGAGAAAATATGAAAATTTCTATTTCTATTTCATTTTTTAACCAAAACATTAAGCTTTACTAAATTTAATATATAGACTAATAGTATTTGTATATAATTTATACATATATTAGAAGTAGGTTCTTAATACTTGTTTTCTAATAATAAAGGTACTGCTAATAAGGCAAAATATACTATAAAAATTTTCCATTTGTAATATATGCCTTACAATTAGCGGGTATAATACTATTTTTGGCATACTTCTATTTCACTGTTATAATTAGTTCCTCAGTAGACAATATTCCCAATTTACAAATAAGGGCATGAAAAGTCTAAATATTGACTAAAATCCTCAATTACTAAAGGGGAACTGGAATTTGAACGACTAGAATTTGTTTCTTGTTCTGACAATCCTTTAAAAAGATCAAGAGAGCACAGAGTAACCCTTTCTGGGCACTGCCTCAACCTTTCCTCTAAGTGTTTTTTAAGGTAGATTTCTGGGCTAGCATAACATGAATGCTATTGCTTTGATCAAGCTCACTGAAAAATGTATTATCCATTTTAAATATACTATTACATATATGGACTTACTGGCAAAAGTCCTTAGGGAATGTTTTACCTTTAAGAAGCAAAAAAACCCAAAATAAAACAAAAAAAAGGAACAAAACCCTGTTAACAATTTATACATATTTAGTACTATTTCTTTGTATTTATCGTATTAAACCTTGACACATGCAGGGCTACTTTTCCACTCAAATGTCTTCAGTGGTTTTCATCTTACCAAGAGAATTGCCTAAGCCCTTACTAGGGCTGCATGGCCTACGTGCTCTGGCAGCCTGTTCTTTCTGTTCTTTCTACCCTGTTATGCTCCCTAATCCAATGCAAGAGCCTCCTACTTGCTCCTTGGGTATCCCACGCATGGTACCATTTGTCTGTACTTTTCCCTTCCTCTACCTAAAATGCACTCCCTCCCAAATAAATGATGAGTCCTCATTTTTTGTCACTTTCTCAGTGAGGCCTACTCTGACTACCCTAAGAAACAGCAACTCCAACTTCCCAGTATTCACTATGCTCCTTTCCTTGCTTTGCTTATCCTCATAGCGCTCATCCTATCTAACATAATTTATCTATCTATCCATCTACTGATTAAATGATGTCTTTTATCCTCTCCTTGGAAGAAAAGATTCCTGAGAATGAGCATTTTCTGTTTTGTCCACTGCTGTATTATGCTGTCTGGAAAATAAGTAAGTACTCAATAAATACTTCCTTTAAAAAATAAGGGATGGTGGGCTATGTAACCCCTTCAGGGATATGGTACATTATAATGAATGAAAGACTAAATTATGAGTCACAATGCCTGGGTTTGTAGCCTGAGACATGATAGGGGATGGTCTTAAAAAGATGATGTGTCGAGGAGTGGAGCTAAGGGCAGAACTTAGCGGTGGAGCATTTGTCTAACAGGTGTGAGTCCACAGATTCCATCCCTAACATAGGAGAAAAAAGAATGCAGGATTACAAAACTCTAAAATAATGCAGATATAAATAATTTTATATGAGTATTAATAATCAAAGTGAGACTAGGTTATTTTAAAGAGAGTTACTGGCTAGAAAGGATGAATAGAGAAGGGAATATGGTTAATATTAATACCTACATACACATTTTAAGGGAGTATGGGTATAATTAGTTTTACAGTAAGGATCGAATCTCGAATCAAATTCTGTTGCTTTCTAGTTGTGTAAACTTAGGCAAATTACATAAGCATTTTATGTCTCAATTTCCTCTTGTGTAAAATGAGTATAACAAAAACTACCACCATAGTGTTGACAAGATATGTTCTAGCACAATATTATATGCTAATTATTATCAATATTGTATCTGCATGTGGACTTTCAATACTAATAGCTATCATTATGATCAAACTATAAACTTTTATTAGCTTATGTAGAAAGTTACTAAACCATAGGTGTACCTGGTAAGAACTGTCATACAAATATAAATAAGTACTAGAAATTATCTGCCACCGGGTGAGTCTAGCACTTTGGGACTGGAGGTATAGATCAGCAGAATAGGGCTTGCCTAGAATGCTTGAGGCCCTGTGTTCAACCCTCAGCACCGCAAATAAATAAATAAAAACAAAAAGCTAGCAATTTCAAAATAGACTTTTTCCAGTATTGAATAAAGTGATATATTTTACTAACATAATATTCATTTGTGGTTTTGTTTATAAGCCATTTATACTATAGAATTGACTCTTTGTAACTTTTATTTATATCAACAGTTCTTAATTTTTTATTCTTTCACAAAATACCTGAGCAATATGCCATGCTACCATTAGGATCAGTGCCACAGTAGACAATAATTCTCTACTAAGTGGAAGGAATGTGGCAGGGGTGGGTTTTTTTTGTGGGGGGTTTCATAATTAGTTTTATTTTATTTTTCCTCATTGAGTTTATTGGTACATTTTAGGTATACAGTACAGTTACATTCATCATTGGGCTCTTGTACCTTTACATGACACGCCTTGGTTCTCATTTTTTCCCCCATACCCATGTCCTCCCTTCACCCCCTCCTCCCTTCCCTATTTACAAAAACTTTATTTCCATTTTTGCATTTTCTCATGTTTTTCAAGGGTGGGTTGTTTTGACATCGTGAGAAAAGAGACATTTTTAAGAAAACAGCTATTATTTAAAGGCAATAAACGGAGTCAAATCAATAGAGAAACATATCATACATCCATTTTAAACTGCATGTTCAAAAAGTACTTAAAAAATATCTTACTAATGTATTTTCTCCATTGGAACTATTCCAGAGCCTCATTCGATTATCTGTACCAATAGTTAGGAGGTGAAGCCCATCGCTTGTAAAACATAAGCCATTAACTTTCCCATTATGAGCAGTGTTTGCTGCAAAGAAAAATACAGTTCAGTTTTTTCCTTATATTCAACAAATATTTAATGCTCAATGATATATTAAGGGACAACTTATCAAATTATGTAAAACTACAAGATGGTTATATTTTAAATTAACTAAACTTTCAGATTATTTAAATTTGAGAAACTATATAAATTAGAATCATAAAAATAGAGGATAACAGGAAAAGATCTTGCCAAATATAATTTTTTGGCAAGCTGTGCTATCAAATTCAATTAAATACATAACTTAACACTAAAACTTTAATCATCTTTCATTATTCCATTTCTCCATGAACTATTACACGTAGTAGTGTTTCCCATTGCTAGAAGTTAGCAAGAAAACTGTTCCAGCTTCAATCAAAATTTTTATTTCTTTCAAAATGAGAAATTTTGAGAAAGCACAATTCCTAATAGCCTGATTAATTTAAAAAGAATTTCAAAAATAATCATGTTTTATGTAGCTCATCCTAATATATTAGTTCACAATTAAGTTTAAGTGAAATTTTCTACTCAGGAATTAAATTCTATTATAAAATGCAATTGAGGCATATTTTTACAGGGACTGCAGCTGACTCATGAATTGTCATTTTTATGCTGACACAACAGCAATATTGTTAACTATTTCTGTAATTTATTGGGGCTTGCTATTTGCAATTGAATTTGTATGGTTGACCTCACCGGGGGAAAAAAAAGATCAGTAAAGCAAGTCAATCCAGAAAAGTTTTTCTTTGAAAACTCAGAAGCAAAAGAAACTGCCATACTTAGTTTTTTAATATATATTTATTTTTATTAGTACATGTTTGGAGTACATAATGATTACACTTATCATACATAAAGTACCTTATACTTTTTCCATCCCCTTCACCACCCCTCCCTTTCTCCTTCCTCTGCCTGTTACTTGTATCCTGGAGAAACACAGCAGAATTTAGTTTAAGTAATTTAGAAAGTGATTCATGGCATATGCCTGTTAGGGTTTAGTTCTCAAATATCCTCCATAAGTATCAGGTTCAAAGGTGGAACCTGGCTGGAAGGAGTGGGTCAAGGGGGATGTGACTTGGGAGGATGTATTTTCATCTAGGGGTCTTGGCTTGTAGCTCTGCATCCTGGCTTCAATGTGGTGAACGGTTTTCTGCCACGCCATTTCTGCCTTGTAGCCACCTAGCCACGGACTGTAGCCACTGAAACTGTTAAACCAAAATAAACCTCTCCTCCTTTTAGTGGTATGTCTAGTATTTTGACTCAGTGACAGGAAAGTGACTAAAACATGCCTTTAAAAATTCCTAATGTTCATAATTTTTCAATATAAACTTATTTATTATTATTTTTTTTTCTGATACTGGGGATCAAAATATACACATTGTTTGGCTTCAATTTAAAGACATCAACACAAAAATACTATCATTGTCATGTATCATATTTATATAATCTTCATTACCTGATTCAGCAGCTTGTGACTTTTCTCCATTATGTTGATCAAGAGTAAGCAAACATCCTGATGCTCTCCTCACATCCCATAATTTTACTCTACTGTCAGCACTGAGAAGAAATAAATGTTATGTTGACAATATGTAGCTAGGATAGCAATTGTACCCCTCACCCACTCTTCTAGCATTATGGCACACAGAAGTTCCATTATATTAGCATCACTGTATTCATACAATTGGATTGTTTTACTTTGCCTTTTCAGCACATTTTCAACACTCAAAAATTGCATAAAAATGTGAAAAAATATCAAGGAAAGATAATCTTTTGTTTTTAAGATCACAAGGACAAAATTGTGTTGCTGTTTATGTTGTTTTTAATTACATGAGCATCTTCTCCCCCCAAGGTTCTAGCAAGTTTGCTACTATATCATTTCTATCATTATTATTCACACTGTCTAGACAATCAATGAACTAATTTCACTTGAAGAATCTTTTTGGGTTGCGGATATAGCTTAGTGGCAAAACACCTCCATATCATACAAGAAGCACTGAGTTTAATCCCCAGAACTGTCAAATTAAAAAAAAAAAATTATTTGGCATGAGCTTGGTATTTTAACTTTTTATATAAAAAAACAAGTAAGGTGCAAATGAAGACAATATATTTTCATTTGGTTTCTTGTACTCAGGTTATTCGTTATCAGTTAAATCAGAAATACATTTAATGTCTCCTAGAAATTACACTTATGTTCATTTGCTTGCAAGTAAGCAAAAATAAAGGCAAATATATCCATGATCACACATCAATTTCTAAGCTACTTCTAAAGAAAAAAATGCCCATAAAGTCCATGTGCACCTAATCAGTTCAAGTCATGGTATCATGTCTTTACTAAGATCTCTACAATATTCTAACTCATTGGGTTTCTCATGTTATTTTAACGAGAACACATTACATTATACTTTGTGAGGCCATTTCTCATTACCACACACACAGCTTATTCAATGCTATCATTATGATTCTTTTTACAGATCACCATCAAAGCTAGCCAGTGGGAATAGTCAGCAGAAAGCTAGTATGCTTCACTCTCAGTTTTCTTTGCTTTTGGTTGAGGAAAATATATACAATGGGAAGAGTGAGAATTTAAGTCTCTTTCAAATCAGCTTAGATTTGGACATATCCAACTCTTAATACTGGTTACTAGGTTCCTTTTGGTCCTGTAGGAATTCTGAGAACTGAAAATCTCTCAGTTCCCCTTTGTTCTAGGAAAAACCAAGCAAAGCACAAAATATAATATAAATCTAACCAAGCATGGACAACACAACCAGCACCTAGTTCTTCACCTTCATACCTCTCTAGCCAATCTTTTTATTGCTAGATGCTGATCTTATTACTTCAGAAATCATAAATTTCATCATCACATTCTGCAAACTATTAACAGAAGCTTTTGGGGGACTAACCTGCGAGAAGGGCTGGCACCTTAAAAAAATCCAGACACAGATCTTTATTAAAACGTTTATCTCAAAATAGTGATTGGGGAGGAAGCTCAGTGGTACAGTGCCTGGAAAACGTGTATGAGGCCATGGGTTCAATCTCCAGCACACACACACACACACACACACAATTCTACCACAATCTTTGGTTATTACTTTCTATTTCTTGTTTTTGAATTTTCTTACTCTGACATGCACATTTCTGTCTCATTAGGTCTTTGATCCCTCCTACAGGCTATTTTGTGATTTCTTATACTCATGACTTCACAGGTATGTACTCTCCTTAAAATACTGAAAAGTGTTATGTCTATGTAATCTGATGTTTTGCTTTCTGTGGCTTAGTAAAGCTGTAGTTTACATACTCAATTGAGCACAACTACCCAGCGATCCTATGTGTCCCTACTCAGCTCCCTCTCTTGTTCAATCTGTTATTCCAAATCTTTACTTCCTTCCCCTAAAATTGCCACCTCACTTCCATACTTCCACACATGTATCAAGTCTTACTCTACTAAAAAACAATTGAGGTCATTAAGTTTGTATTTCTTGAACTTCTCTGCCAAAGCAACAAACTTAACTGTATTCAATCCCACCCTTTCCTCCTTCTATTTAGTCTCACAGTACCCTTTCTGTGTCAAGTGTTAACCTGTCTAGACCTGAATACCTCTCCCCTCCTGCCTACTAAGTGGGCTCAATCATTCCCTCTACTTCTTATCTTCACTTATTTTTCTCTACTGGTAATTTCTTTTCTGCAAATAAATATGCAATACACTTCCCTCCAAAAATCAATTTCCCCAAACTTTGATACTTCTTTCTTTCCCTATATTACCCCTACCAAAAAATGTATTTTTCAGGATGCCCTCTCATCACTGATTTTTCCCTCATTAAATTGGTAGCTTCCCGAAGTTTGGTTACCTATGTGGCCCTATCATAGAAGTTGGCACAAGGTAAGCAGCCAGTAAATGTTAATAAATTGAAATCAATGAATAGATGGATATTTTCTATCAGATTCAAAATAATTCTGGTTTAAAGAAAATGAATAGAAAAATAACTATTTTAAAATCAACACAGTGTTATCCTTTAGTCCAAAAAAATGACACAACAAAATGATTTACTAGTAGACCTAGTTGATTTGCATTACTACATAGTCTCATGTTTTCTCATTATTCTAAAGGTGTAAATCTTTAAAGTAGATAGTTACGATTATAATATGAAAATTTCTTTTGGTGATATGAATTAATATGCATCTTTATAAATGTAGTCTTTTAAAATGCTTATTATTACTAGCATTAATTTAAAAACCAAATAGCTACATTTTACCTGGCAGTTGCCAAGATATAGTCATATCGTGGTGACCAGGAAACTGCCAATATTTCCTGTCTGTGACCTGCAAATACAACTGTGTGAAAATTCTCAATAAAACACTTGAAAAATCAAAAGATAAAAGTTTTAGAAACATTTCCTAGTTCTGAAGAAAGTATTATAAAGTGATTAGATATGTTTATCATTTTTTTCATGTTTATAATTTCTTTTCAAATCCTAATGTGAAGTCTGTGGGGATAATTTTACCACATGGTATGTGAGGACTGGTTTTGTTTGGAAAGGTCAAGTGAATGCTTTTTGAAAAAGTTTAGATGTTAGCCTATGTTTCTATAATATAAAGTCACTGGAACACCATATAAAATAAACAGCTTAAAGAAATAAAATATTTTTCAATTTCTCATAAGTTTATAATAGAAAAAAGAATTGTTGATTATAAAAAAGCATTTGTATACAGTAACTTCTTTTTCTAGAAAGTACAGGTGGAAAGTTCATAGAATAAATGTTTTCAACATTTTAATTCAGCTTTACCTAACTTAACTATTCAAATCAGGAATTTTTATCTGCCTAGACTATATCAATAGAAATTCATAAAAATAATAATAGTAGTATCCATCTCACCAAGTTTTCTTGATATTTTATGTTTCATAGAGATGAATAATAGTGTATATTTCTGAATTATATTTCATCTTTTCACTGTTCAGAATTAAACGATTTAATACTGAATAAAAGGTAGCAAAAATAAATTAGTATGCCTTTTCCAAAATATTTCAACATTTTTTTCTGAAATATTTACACTGAGAAAAAAATGCAATTAAATATTAAAAACATCAGAACAATATTAAACAATGTTTAGGGACAAATGTACTGATACAAGTTTCTGTAGTACTTTATTTTTTTAAATGCTGAGAAAATACAAGGTTTTGAGTTAGATCTATTTTTCATTTCTTTTGAACTTCCCCTATAGCCATTGTTCATATAAATGTCACCTCAATAGTCCAATTTTGTAAGAATAATGCACAGAAGAATCTTTTTTTCCCTGTTGTCTTTTAACTAGCACAAAATACATCAGTCATGTCACTTACAAAGAATACATTGTTAGTAATGATTCTATTGATTGGTTTACTCAAAGTAGTAGTTGTTTCAATTATAAAAAATACCCTGTAGAATGTGAGAACAGGATCCAGACTTTAAGTCACAAAGTTGTACTTTGGGTCCTCTAGTACCGACTGTAAAAACAAAATTAAAAAACTGGTTTAATACAATTTTACAGTCATTAGCAAAAATAAACAACATACTTCTTAGAAATCATGACATTTCACTGCATGCACTCAGAAATCTAAAAATATATGTCAAAAATACATTTCTAATAATCATTAATTATAATTAGAAAAATTACTTTGGGCCAGGGATTTAGCTCAGTGGCACAGCGCCTGCCTTGCAAGCTTGAGGTACTGAGTTTGATCTCTGGCACCAAAAAAAAAATTTTATTTTAATTGAAATTATACTTTAGTAGTAAGAGAAGTCTATTATTGCATTATTTTTTCTTTTAAAATAGAGATTTGTAAGAAGTTACAAAGCTAGTAGAGAGGTCCAGGTAACCTTTACTCGATTTCTCCTAATGATCCTAAATTAGGTAACTAGAATAGTGAACCCTGAAGTTATGACTGGTCTAACATATGAACAACTTAGGTCAATTAGCTTAATGGAAGACTCATCTGCCTCTTGTTATCTGTAGTGTGTACCCAGGTAAACATACAGATCTCAGCTGTACTGACTTAGTTACAACCAGCCCTCAGGAACTGATCAAGTTCATAAGTCAAGGGTCCATGATATAATATCAAAACCAAGGTATTTATATGGGAAATTAAATATGTATTATAATTGTGTGACATTTTATTACCTTAAATCATTTTATTTTAATAGCTTAGTTTTCCAAGTTAATGATACACTTCTAGTTTTAAGTACAATAACAGATTCACAAAAATTCTGGACACAGACTAAACGGACCTCAAAGACAAGTTAGGGACTAATTCTCAACAGATAAAGCAGCTGACCTATGTTAAGAGATTGATGTATAGCCACAGAAATAATGAAATCACAGTGACCAGACATGATAGTAGAAAAAGCATTGCTGCTTCTTCATGTGAAAAATTTTTTGTTGCAAGTGATTTTGTTTAAGTGGCTGTTTAATTTCAGTCATAATCTTAGGGACAGAAATGTTTTTCTTGTTTTATTGCATCAAATTGGAAACATTTCCAAATTTTGTTCAGGAAAATATTTTTGGAAATTTAGCAATTTAAAGGTAACTCCTTAGGGAACAGAAATATGCTTTTTAAATATTTTAATCCTAGCCATTGGCATAGTGCCTGACTTGTAAACATCTGTTGAAATAAATACAATCACATTATTTACAAAAAAAATAGTTTGATCTTCATCTCAGTTAATTAAATATAAAAAAGACAATGCTTTTGACATGTTAAAAGACAAAAGAATACATGTACAAACCTGCTACTAAACAGTGCTTGGTGGCAACTGGTGACATATGATGACTATAAACTGTTTCCTCAAAATTAAATACATCTGCAGTCTGATAATCAAAAACATTTAAAAAGTTAAGTTCTAATGATAAAACCAAAGCAACAAACTTTTGTTTCCCCATATGTTTAGCAATATAAAAACTGACTGTTAGCAATTTATTTGACTTAAACATAAAACAGTCTAGAAATTAAGAAAAGACAACCACCTGGTTATCTTCTGCTCTACTTCACTCTGGGGGATTTCATCATCAACATGGATGATGTAGCCAGCAGCGTGCCTCTCATCTCCCTACAATCTTAGCTACAATAACCAAGAGAGTGTGTCCTCACCTAGAACTGTTTCTAGCTTTGAAATCTTGCATTTCAGTTATCTGTGACAACAACAATCTTATCATTTTGACTTCTCTCTCTCTCTCTCAATTCCAGTACTGGGATCAAACTCTGGCCCTTGCACTTGTGAAGCAGGCGGCAGAACCACTGAGCCAAATCTGCGGCCCCCTGGTTACTCTCAAGACAATGGAATAAGCCAAAAACCTTTCAGTTTCTTCTGTCTTTTCTTCTCCAGCCTGGTTCCAAGTTCAACAGGCCAGTATCTTTGCTATCATCTTTCTATTTGTCAAGGAAGCCCTCCATCCTGAATAATTCCACAAATGTCTGCCTTTTCTGCACCTATATCCACAATGATCTATGTTAGGGATGGCAAACATTCTGCATAAAGCATGAAACAGTAAAAATGTTAGGGGTGAGGACCAAATATTTATCTTTGTAGTAATGATGGCCAGTCATACTTTTCACTATTTTAGTATTCTCTGCAATATTCTACAACTATTTCAAATTTTCTCCATTCTCCACAAATCTTTACTCAGTCACAACAGGTGATCTGATATTTTAGTTCAAAGAGAAACTAGGAGCCACTCAATCAGAACTCTGTTTTAGCAACAAAGCTACAAAAACATTTGCTTCTACTAAGCCCCTTTTCTCCTTCTTCACTTCAGTTAGCATGGAAAAAAAAAGATCCCTCCCCATTTCAAAAGTTAATCCCCTGCAGCATTTTCAGAAATCTCAGATTATCTCTAGGGTATCTATAACTTCTCTTCTGCCTCATTTCCAAATTCAAGTCTTATTCATCTTAATAGCATCCATCTCCCCAAGATAAACCAGAACACCTTTCATCTTACATTTGCCTTAATCTTTTCTCCTCTTCAAATTCAAATTCTGGCTATTTTTATTCCTTACTTCCTATGTGTTTTTCAATCAATTTTATTCTCAGTACTTATTCATTACTTCATCTCTCTCATTACTGTGATAATCTTGTCAGCATCCTACCTATGTAATTTGCCAGGAACATTTAACACAGCTGATTACACCATTGTTCTTACTTTTTTTTTTAAAACCTGGCTTCAAATGCTCATATGGTCTCCATTTTTCTCTTACTCTCCTATTTTTTTTTTTTTTTTTTTTTTTTTGGTGGCAGATTTTGCTGTTTCTTTTTCTGTTCTGTTTACCTTGGTCTTCCTTAAGATTTTTCTTATATGAACTCTTCAGCTGCCACCTGCATGCTAGTTATTCCAGTACAAGGTCAAACAGGAAATAATAGAGATAAATGAATAGGAAAGCTTTTAATATATTACCACCAGAAATAATATTTGCTTTAGTTATTTTTGAAATATATTCTTTATCAAATTAAGGTATTCTTCCTGTATTTCTCATCCACTATTTAAAAAATTTTTAAAATCATGAATGGCCCTACCCCCTCTACCTTTACCATTATAACTATTAAGCTTATGAATCTCTAGGTAGCTAGTTAACTTTACACTATTGTTGCCGAATACTGTTCTATTGTTAGTAGAGGTAAAGTTGTTCCACTTAGATGTTTACTGTAGGTCAATAGTAAGTTTATATATTTGGTTTCTCTGAGGGTTCATACTACAGTTATGGTCCTTCTATGGTACATTATTAGTCTTCAGAGTTTGTTAATACTCAGTTTTTATTTGATGCTATAATTGGTGCTGATTTTATTACTATAGTCAAGGTGACACAACTATTGCTATTAACTGGTTGCTTGGGGTGCCAGTATCTGGACTGCCTTAAGGTCATTAACAATACCATGGCACCTGGCAAGCACAAGGTCCTGAGTTTGATCCTCTGTACCAAACAAACAAACCAAAACTATGGCCCATTCCTGGAGAACTGGGTACTAGCTGGGATGTAACCTCCCAACCCAGGTAAATAGAGATGCCTGGATCCTAGGAGAGAGGCAGGGGCTTATTAGCCACACCCAGAAGACAACACTGAAATCAAGGAAGAAATAAGACAGTCTCTAAAACTAAATGACAATTCATGTACAACATACCAGAACTTAGGGGACACAATAAAGGCAGTCCAAACAACTAAAGAGGTCTCTGTGCTAGATACAAAGCTTTCCACTACAATTCAGCCTGCACTCTTCAAAACAAAAACAAACAAACAAAAAATAGAAACATGAGATGAGAAAATAAAAAAACTGCCTCCTAAAATTCCCAAATGCAAAGCCGATCCATGGGGCATTGAAGATGAAATAAAAAGCCACAAACTCAAATTATTTGAAGTGACATCAGGAGAGGTCACAACACAGATCAAGAAGGTATTTGGCAGAAGACACAGTAAGAGCCCAACTTATGAATGAGTTCCATTCTGGAAGAACGTTTGTAAGTTGAATTTGTTTGTAAGTCAACAAAGTGGGTCTTATACACCTTTGACACAAATATACAATGTAAAGCATAAGAACCCTCCTCCCCCACAAATCCTGTAAATAGTTTTACTTTTACAATAAGCGCATAGCAGTACTACTGTGACAGTGTCCAGCAGACATGTGAGCTACTTCTGTGATTTGTCACCATTTATGAATGATTGTAACGTGAGGTCTGCTCATATCTGTGAAAGTTTGAAATTTGAATGCCTGTAAGTTGGGGACTTATTGTATAAGTAAACAGATACTGAGCCAAATAAACAAAATGATGAAAGAGTCTTCAGGAAGACACTAATAAAAAGCTAGCAGAGCTAAACAAAACATGAAGGACCAACACAGAAAATAACTAGATTCCATAAAAAGGTCCAAGTAGAAATTGATGAGTTGAAAAATTATATTGAAAATATGGGCAACAAAAGTGATGAATGTGTAGACAGAGAATCAGAACTAAAGGACAGGCTTAACCCTGCTAACTAATTAATGAGAGACACCTTTAAAACAAGAGAACATGAAAAATGGATCCAACAGCTCCTAGACAAGGCAAAGATGACTAAGATTAATTGAAATTAGTGAAAAATCAGAAGATAATACAAATAGCATAAAAAAATCTGTTTACTGAAATAATAGCAGAAAACTTTGCAAATAGGGGAAAGAATTTAAAATACAGATAAGTAAGACATATAGAATCCCAAACAGCCATTATCAGCAAAAAACCCACCACATATCATAGTTGCAGAAGTCCAACACAAGAACAAATTCTTAAAAGCATTTAGAGACTAGCAACAAATTACTTATACAGTGATAACCCCATTAGAAGTATAGTAGACTTCTCAACACAAACCTTAAAGGTCAGATGAACTTGGAGTAAAGTATTTCAAGCCCCACAGAAAACAATTTCTAATCCAGGCTGATATATCCTGCAAAAGTATCTTTCAAAATTGATGGAAAAATAAGATATACACATGACAAAGAGCACCTAAAGAAATTCATAACCAGCAAGCCAGTATTCCAAAAACTTCTGACAGGTAACTTGGAAAGAGACAATGAAGCTAACGATGACAAAAAGTCTAAGTAAATGTAAAAGAACTGAAATTATTCCATGAATATTATCAGATCACAGTGCAATGAAATGAGAAATCAACAACAAAAAAGAAACCCAGAAATTATACAAACGTATGGAAACAAAATAAAAGTTTAAATAAGTTCTTTTAAGTAAACAATGGGTTAAAGAAGAAATCAAGGAAGAAATAAGACAGCTTCTAGAACTAAATGACTTCATGTACAACATACTGGAACTTATGGGACAAAATGAAAACAGTCTGAAGAGAGAAGTTTACAGCTATGAATACCTACATCACAAAAACAGAGCAAGCACAAATAAATAACGTTAACAATGCACCTCAATGTCCTGGAAAAACAAGAACAATCTAAATCAAAAGCTAGTACAAGGCCAGGGATTTAGCTCAGTGGCACTGCACCTGTCTCGCAAGCACGTCCTGAGTTCAATCCCCAGTACCGAAAAAAAAAAAAATTTTTTTTAAAAGCTAGCACAAGGAAGGAAGTTATAAAAATCAGAGCAGAAATCAATAAAAGTGAGATTAAAGAATACAAAGAAAAAAGAATATAAAGAATTAATGAACTGAAGACTTGGTTCTTTGAAAGAATAAACAAAATAGAAAAACCCTTAGCCAATCTAACTAAAAAAGGAAAAAAGATCCAAATCAATGTAATTAGAAATAAAAAAGTGAAATCAAAATGAGCACTGCTAAGATAAAAAGATTAACAATTATTTTGCAAACATGTACACCAATAAAGTGAAGAATAGAAAATAAATGCATAAATTCCTATATATTCATGAATTACCAAAACTGAACCAAAATGACTTAAAAACTCTTAATAGTCCAGTAACAGGCAATGAAATTGAAACAGTAATTAAAAAAAAAAAAAAAAACTACCAAGAAAAGCCCAGGTCTGGGTCGATTCACTGTTAGATTCTGGAAAATCGTCCGGGAAGATCTAACACTAATGTTCCTTAAGCTCTTTAATGAAATTGAAAGGGAAGGAAAGTCATTCCTGGAAGCTAGCATTACCATGATTCCAAAACCAGAGATCCAACTGAAAAAGAGAACTAGACCAAACTCATTAATGAATATAGATGCAAAAAACCTGAATAAGATACTGAATGCAATGAATCATCAAAATGATAATACATCATGATCAGGTAGGCTTCATCTAAGGGATGCAGGGATGGTCCAACACATGCAAGTCAATAAATGTAATATATCAAATAAAAGCAAAAACAAAATTCACATGATTATCTCA